ACTTGGATTATTGTGATGTTGAAAGGTCTGCCTTGGATTCGTATTGACATCATTCTATCATTTTTGAGATTGTATCCCATTACAGCTTTTCCCACTCTTTTGTTGTCTATGAGGGCTACTCCATTCCTTCTGCGGGATTCTTGCCCACAATATATGATATGATAATCATCTGATTCATGAGTGCAAGTATATCTAAAATGTAAGATAAAGTTGTATAAGGCTACATATTATATTTATACTTATGATTGAGATACTGAAAACACACTTTTTTTCTTCACCACAACAGTAGATATGATAATCGTCTGATTCATGAGTGCAAGTATATCTAAAATGTAAGATAAAGTTCTATAAGGCTACACATTATATTTATACTTATGACTGAGATACTGAAAACACACTTTTCCTATTTTCTTCACTTTTGTTTGCCTGTATTGAAAGCATTAGTTACCCAGTGTGGTGCAGTGGATTAAATGATGGACTAGAACTCTAGATACTGGGGGAATGGAACTGGTAAACACTTATATCAATAGTTTGATTTTAGGTATGTTAGATCCAAACCACTGAGGTCTTTGGGAGTCAAAACCTAGGCTAATAATCCACTGTCTTTGCAGTAAGCGGGGAAGGCAAAACAAAATCAAAACCAAAAAGGTTCATGAAACTTCTAGTGGACTGCTATACTGTACACTATATCATTGATCTGCTAAGTTCAGCTTTCATGCTTCACTGTGAACACTAGATGGCAGAAGCACACAACACTTTAAATGTGCTGCCTGGAAAAGGACATAATTGTGACTCTGCCTAATATTTGTAGCTACTGAATCAACAAAAAAATTAGACTAATCTTCAGGTTAGCAAATTCAAAATTAAAGTTCTGAAGCTTATAATTATTATCATATGTCACTGCCACTACTCAAGACATTTAATATACACACAAACACACACACATACACACACAAGAAGCAACTCTATTTCAGCCATTAAAAATTAAAACTGTCCTGCCATAAAAAGTGCATGTCTTCCCTCCCCCCACTCTGCTAAGCTGCTGTTAAAGCAAAAAACAGGAATCATTAGGAACTAAAAAAAACTGCCTTGCACTGAGCCAGACCCTTATTCTAGCCCAGTATTGTTTAGGGCTGAGGCAGGAGCTTCTCTGGCCCTAATAGGAGATTCCTGGTATGTTGAACCTAGCAAAGCATTGGCTCTAATTGGCTCTTTATTTTTTCACCTGTGGAATGAATGAAAAATGATGAAAGGATCTATGAAGTTGACTGCTGTGGAAAGGCAGATTTTCAAATGCATTTGCACCAGAATATTCCACCCATGAAGCAAATGGGCCAGGCTGTTTTGGGAAAACAGGTCGTAGTGGTGGTCAGCATTGGCTGTTTCTTCACAAATCCAGCTCACACAAATAACAACAAAAAACATATGTTAATCTCAAGGGAACAATAAGTAGAACACTGTATATGTGTATAGAGACAAGGGGGGTATGTCCCACCCTCACAAAATCCTTAGTTTATTCATTATTTACAGTGGTGCCTCGCTTAGCGATTGCCTCGTTTAACAATGTATTCGCTTAGCAATGAGGTTTTTTGAGCGATTTTGCGCTCCGTTTAGTGATGTTCCCTATGGGGAAAATTCGCATAGCGATGTTCGGGACCTTGCCTCACTTAGCGATGACAGTTTTAGGTCCCCTGTTTCACTTAACGATGTTTTGTTTTTGCTATTTTTCAAGTGTCTTAAAAGGTTCAAAAACGGTTTTAAATGCTTGGGATCGTTAGTCCAACTTAGGTTCAATGCATTTCAATGGGGGAAAAAATTCACCAAAAATTAACAAAGAGTCAGAACAGAACCAAATTAAGTTTGCAGAGGTTTTAGAAGGTGCACTAACGATCCCAAGCAGTTAAAACCATTTTTGAACCTTTTAAGACACTTTTAAAATTGCAAAAACGGACATCGCAAAACCATTGGAATGCATTGAATAGGCTTCAATGCATTCCAACGGGGGATACATTGTTTCGCTTAGCGATGTTTCCAATGGCAATTTTCGCTTAAGGACGGTAATCTGTTCCCATTGGAACGGATTAACCAGTTTTCAATGCATTCCTATGGGAAATGGTGTTTCGCTTAGCGATGTTTTCCCATAGTGATTTTTTGGGGGAACCAATTAACATTGTTAAGCGAGGCACCACTGTATATCTATACAGGCAGACGCACTGCACTGCAGTTGTGTACACTATGTGTAGTTACTGGGCTAACACTATGAGTGTGCAGACCTTCTTTACACCCCCAGAAAAATTCCAGCTGACACTAAAGGCCAGGCATCCGTTCAGGATCTACTGTTTACTTTTATACTGAAGAACTCATTTGGGAGAGAATACAGGAAGTGCTCACAAGCAATGGCAGGAAACAAGCAGTTGGCAAACACACTTCTATAGTCAGACACAAGGCAAAAAGACTTTCACTGCTTCCCAATTGCTTAACCCAATAGAAGAAACATAGACTTGAACAGATAATGTCTGCTCTTTGCTTACTGCAGCAAGATTAGTTGTTGCACTCATAATGTGCAGAACGCATGAGTGTAAGTGTGTGACCTTTCAACAGGATGTCCATAGCATGTCTTCTTTCCACACTTACAAAAAGCTAAACTAGAGTTTGAATCAGTGTTGGGGTTTTTTTAATTACTGCTTCCCTAATCTTCCATTCAACGTGGCTACTTCTGGGAACTCTGGTCAAAAAAATTAACTTTTCTAAGATCTGGTGCAAACATAGTTAAACAAACATAACAAATCCCTAACAGGTTTCTCTCTCTCTTTTAACTTCCAGATGGGTGGGTGGGGTAATTCGTTCTCACAAAGCTAAACAGCCCTGTGGCACCTCAGAGACTAATGTATAGATTACATTATATGCTTATATGGACACTGACAATTTCTTGGACTTCTACCCAGAGTTTCAGGTGTACAGAAAAAGTCTACCCAGGTGTTATGCCTGAAAGCAGGTACAAGACTAAATGAGTGGTACTGATGGAAACGTTTAAAGTAAACACACATATCCCTCCCCACTTCCCAAGCATCAGACCTTCACACAATTGGCAATTCGGTCAAACATACTTATGGGATCCCTGTGACAGAGAACCTGGATAAAGAAGGGCTCCCAGTCACAGGAACTGGATGAGCACATTCAGTTCAAAGTACTGCAGGTTCTTCTTCAAACCTCTGCATCTCTGACTTCCACGCAACAGTGACTGTGTGTTTTGTTTGTGTGTTGTTTCTGTGTGTTGCACTCAGCTATGTCACCCGTTTAACTCTCTCCAGATTTCAGGCACATACCTGAACAGGGTTTATGACTATTCATGGTTTGGAGTAAGGGATTGGAGACACAGAGGTCAGCAGAAAATTAGGAGTGTAAAACACTAACCATGAAAATTTGAGTATTACTTTTTACTGTAGTCCATGAAATACATCCACCAGAATAAACATGTTATACTCCATAGGACCCTTCACTGTTTTTAATGAAGAACAGTTTTGGAAAGAGGCAGGGGCCTCGAAAAGCAGTAGAGGATATGGGTACATTTCTCTGTTACACCTTTTTCCCACTCCCAAGGCTCCACTATATAGGGACATGGTGGCGCTGCAGGTTAAACCGCAGAAGCCTCTGTGCTGTGAGGTCAGAAGACCAGCAGTCGTAAGATCGAATCCACGTGACGGAGTGAGCTTCCGTCGCTTGTTCCGGCTCCTGCCAACCTAGCGGTGCGAAAGCATGTAAATGCGAGTAGATAAATAGGTACTACCTTGGTGGGAAGGTAAATAGCATTCCGTGTATAGCCGCACTGGCCACGTGACAACGGAAACTGTCTTTGGACAAACGCCGGCTCTACGGCTTGGAGATGGGGATGAGCAAAGGTCCACTGCCCCGGTATGAGCTGTAAGTATTAACCACTCTCCCCTACACATTGCTGTGTTGCTGTTCCTTAAAAAAATGGTCACCTAAGAGTGCTACTACACAGCAGGGAGAATACGCTTTGATACACTGGGATTCACACCTGTGGAAGTTGGATTTCTCTAGCTGAAATTGCTGTAGCCACGCAGATGACAAGTTGCAGGACTCAGCAGGGTCAGAGTTGCAGAGCTTCATTGTATGGAACTTCAACAGCAGAAGCTGCCTCGTGCTAACAAGGCACTAAGATGCTAACAAGGCACTAAATAGCAACTTCTGCCTCTTTTAAAAAAAAACTGTTCTAAGTGCCCTAGTAAACATTTGTTCTAGTGCTGAGTTGAAACCTTTTTTCTTTAAAGAAATGGTTTGGAAACAAGAAGCAATCAGTTGAGATAAACTGATACCCTTACAAGTGGCCCTTTGCATCGACACAGGCAATCACACTAGCAGAAAGCAGATAAAAATGACGTCAAGGCAATCAGAACAAATGTAAACCACCTCTCCTGGCTGAATAAAAAACTCAATTCTGAACTCAAAAAAGATGAACCCACAACAGGATTCTCCAAACTGAGCTTTACGTTTTTTAGTCCCTGGTCTTTAATTTGAGTTTATCTGTGCCCAATCCAATGCAAATTGCAGGGTAAATGTTCAATGCAATAGCCCCCCGAGCATGAGTTAGATGTAGCACATGTAATGCATATTTTTGGTCCAAATAAACTAAGGGACTCTGCAGTTCTTCTAGGCAAGGGAAAACATTTCCAATTAGAAGGAAGAGATCTACAGTATTTGGAGATACAAAGAGATTTAGGTCAGAATCACCAGGGCTTTTCTGAAAAGGATACACAACATCTAACCACACTCTCCTGATACCATGTCTTCTGTTACATAAATGCTGACACAATTCATCCATCAATCCCCACTGGATAATTAGCTGTCTTTCAGGAAAAGAATCTCACCAGAGAAGAAGTATTTACCTATCTGTTTGCTGGACCACTGCCTTAGACCAAATGATTCCTTCCTTCCTATACATACACACACAATCAAAAAGAGATGTGCCGTTTACTTACCCAACCAACTTCTGTTTAAATACACTGAAACAAACACTGGAGGGACTGTGAAGAAATCTACCACTGAGTTTACTTCCAGCCAAAACCATAGCTTGTCGTTGGCTGCTATGAACTGGGAAAAGAGAATATAAGGAAAAAGAACAGGGTGAAGATCTATTTAGGCAAGGAGGTGGAGCAGTATAATTATTCTTTATACAAGATACAACAGATGAATTTGTTTTGCTGTTATAGAAATAACTGAAGCACCATCTGAAACCTCCTTGCAGAGCTGCCTCCAAACAGTGCATGGAAAGCCATGAAATCATAGCAGAGATGTTGGCTGAAAAGTGTGTGTGTGTGTATATATATGTATGTATGTATGCATGTATATGTATATGTATATGTATATGTGTGTGTGTGTGTGTGTGTGTATATATATATATATATCTCCTGCCTTTCTCCCTTGTGAGATTCAAAGTCCCAAAAATGAAATTTTTCTACTTTTTTTGTATTAATACACCCTACAGTAATTCTGTTTTGGCAGAATTCAGCTTTAAAATTCTATGAGCCTATATTCCAGAAACATACAGTTTCTTTTTTATTTTTCATAGGTTTCTAGATGTTGCCCCAAGGAAAGGGAAAGTTGGCAAAAACAAGAGAGGAGGAGAAAGAGAAGCACAAATGATTAGAAGGCTTTGTATGTTATTACTGTTGTTATTGTTAAGCTTATGGTTTCTGTGATTCTAAAATATCTGGAAAAAGGTTTTAAACAATAGCAAGGATAACATAATGCCCTTTTCAAAGCATCGATTTTACATGTATTTATCTTGCTAAAGCTCCTTGAATTATTTGCTTGGATATATTTCGTACTAAACTGAATGATCTTACAACTCAGTATATTAGCACTGGGGATGGATGGATACATCTTTTTGTATTAGAAAGCAGAGATTTACTAAGTTACAGTGGACCCTCGACTTACAGACGGCTCGACGTACAGACATTTTGAGTTACAGACTTCTCTGGCTGCAAAATTTAGGTTTGACTTGCAGCCAGAGAATCGACCTACAGACCAGAAAAAACCCAAAATTGAACAAAAATGGTACAAAAAGGGCTGGTTATGGAATTAATCAGTTTTCAATGCATTGTTGGTCAATGGAGACTCGACCTACAGACTTTTCAACCTGCAGCCACCGTTCCAATATGGATTAATTCTGTAAGTACAGGGTCCACTGAACTTCCTTGTATTACAGCTCCCAGAACCCCCTAGCGCACAAGGTTAATGGCTACTCTGCCTGAGGGATTTTAGGCATTGTAACAAAGCAGATTTTCAGACTCTGCTATGAATCTTTTTCCCTGCTACAATATAATCCACATCACTGGTGTGTCTGTAGTGCGTGCATAAGGGAGAGAGAGGGGGGGAGGGAGGGAGAGAGAGTGTGTGTCAAACATGACAACGAAAGCTTGGGTATCTACTAGTTATAGTAAAATATTCAATCTCTATCTCTGAAAGAAATTACAGCTTGGTTCTGCAGTTTGCTCTCAATTTCCCCTACATTATTTCCTACAAAAAGACACTGTTTCACTTATGGGGGACTCTGCGGGAGTTTCATGGACTGGAGACTGTAATGAACAAAATCTGATGGTGTGAAATTACAGCCATCTCATGAGAGTACCACCTGAAGTCCATGTGTATGCAAAAATGTCATTATTTCTTCAGTTATATTCATTAGGAAAGTACACCACTGGTTTACATGGTTTCCCTTTCCCCATTTTATTCCAAAAAACAACTGAGAAGTACAAAGTAGTCCAAGGACACTCTGATCAGTAGTTATGACATTCGATGGCATCCTTCAGTCTCGAAAGACTATGGTATCGTGCTCTGTATCGAGGACTTGGAACAGTGTCTAGTGTGGCTGAGGAGGCCAATTCGAGAGTGACAATCCCTTCCACACTGAAGACAAAGCCAATCTGTCCCCTGTCCAGCCCCCGATTTTGCTGCTTTCGTAACTGCCTCTTTGCGTCAGCCTGCTGGACAAGGGTCTCTTCAAATTGGGAGAGGCCATGATGTACTGCCTGCCTCTAGGCTGAACGCTCAGATGTCAGGATTTCCCATCTGTTGAGATCCATTCCTAAGGCCTTCAGATCCCGCTTGCAGATGTCCTTGTATCGAAGCTGTGGTCTCCCTCTGGGGCGATTTCCCTACACTAATTCTCCATACAGGAGATCTTTTGGAATCTGACCATCAGCCATTCTCACGACATGCCCAAGCCAATGTAGACGTCGCTGTTTCAGTAATGTAAATATGCTAAAAATTCCAGCTTATTCTAGAACTACTCTATTTGGAACTTTGTCCTGCCAGGTGATACAAAAAATGTGTCGGAGGCAACGCATATGGAAGTTGTTCAGCTTCCTCTCCTGCCATGCACAAAGGGTTCAGGACTCACTGCAGTACAGGAGTGTGCGCAGGACACAGGCTCTATAGACCTGGATCTTGGTATGTGTCGTCAGCTTCTTACTGAGCCATACTCTCTTTGTGAGTCTTGAGAACATGGTAGCTGCTTTCCCAATGCGTTTATCCAGCTCGACATCTAGAGAGAGTGTGCCAGAGATTGTTGAGCCAAGGTACACAAAGTCATGAACAACCTCTGGCAAGGCACCTGGAAAGGATAACATCCCTGTTGAAGTGCTGAAGTGCTGTAAAGAGATCATCACCACCGAACTGTATGAAGTCTTTCGTCTTTGCTGGTGGGAAGGTAGAGTACCACAGGACATGAAGGATGCAAACATCGTCACATTGTACAAGAACAAAGGAGACAGGGGGGACTGCAATAACTACTGTGGCATCTCTCTTCTTAGCATTGTAGGGAAGCTGCTTGCTCATGTTGTGCTGAAGGGACTCCAGGTGCTGGCAGACAGAGTCTATCCAGAATCACAGTGTGGATTTCAAGCCAATAGATCCACCACTGCCGTGGTATTCTCCCTCAGACAGTTGCAGGAGAAATGCAGGGAACAACAACAGCCACTCTTTGTGGCCTTCATAGACCTTACAAAGGCCTTTGATTTGGTTAGCAGGGATGACCTTTTTAAAATACTTCCCAAGATTGGATGTCCAGCTCGACTCCTTAACATCATCAGGTCCTTCCATGAGGGAATGAAAGGCACTGTAGTTTTTGATGGCTCAACATCAGATCCCTTTGACATCTGAAGCGGAGTGAAACAGGGCTGTGTCCTCACGCTGACCCTGTTTGGGATCTTTTTTGCTGTCAAGCTGAAGCACGCATTGGGAACTGCAACAGGTGTCTTTTCCGGACTAGATCAGATGGAAAGCTCTTTAATCTCTCTAGATTGAGAGCGAGGACCAAAGTCCAGCTGAAATGCATACAGGACTTCCTCTTCATTGATGATGCAGCCATTGTTGCCCACTCTGCTGAAGACATCCAGCAACTCATGAATCGTTTTAGCAAGGCCTGTCAAGACTTTGGACTAACAATCAGCCTGAAGAAAACACAAGTCATGGGCCAGGGCGTGGACTCACCTCCCTCTATTACCATCTAGTTATGACATAGGCTTAAATATATTGATAACAAATGATGCAACAGTGTATTTAATTTGGCTAATCCATATTAATAACATGCAAACTAGGGTGTCTGTATTTAAATAACTAAAATATGGTAACCCTAAGATACAAGATCTGTAGGTAAATAAGACAGTCTTTGCTTTGCAAGGATATAAGCATTTCAGAAAGATATTTTAAAAAATTTCAGAATTCTGGACATGTTTAGAGGACTGTAGTATTAAATGTCTTGGATTAATTATAACTATTTCATAATCCATGGAAGAAATTGGAAGAAAACTGGTACATTTAAAGGTCTCCTTGTAGAGCATGGCAGTGCCCTCTGAGTTTAGACTCCTGTAAAAAAAATCTTTAAAAATTCCTCTTTCAGTCTATGCTCCACAGCCTGCTCTTTATGCTTAGAATCACCCTCTTCAGATTTAATGATCAGAACTAGCTCAAACATTTTAAACCTCATTTCTCATGTATCAGAAAGTGATCTGAATGCCATCTTCTAAAAAGAAGGGGGAAAAATTCAGCTATTGTAGCACAAGCATTCTCCCCCATCTGCCTATATAGAACATCTTCTCAGTAATTGTTTTGCAAGATGGAAAATGAACATTTTCAGATATATAATCTAAAACAAAGTAGTTGTTCTGGGTTTTTCGGGCTCTTTGGCCATGTTCTGGAGGTTGTTCTTCCTAACGTTTCGCCAGTCTCTGTGGCCGGCATCTTCAGAGGACAGCAACAGGTTGCTGTCCTCTGAAGATGCTGGCCACGTTAGGAAGAAAAACCTTCAGAACACGGCCAAAGAGCCCGAAAAACCCGCAACACCCATTAGATCCCGGCCATGAAAGCCTTCGGGAATATAAAACAAAGTAGTCGCTGAAGTTCAATAAATACATGTAAAGTATTTCTGCTATGCAACCAAACTTTATTTTTCTTCTTCAAACTGAGTTCCTCATGCTTAATCTCCACATGTCTTCATTATTTCTATTTCAGATGTCTCACTGATCTCTGTGTTACTTTTTGGGCAATAAAAAGATGACATCTCAGCTTTTATGTAGAAATAGTTTTGAACAGCTCCTCTCTAGGTGTTCTGGTATGCTTAGATACACCAACTTTTAGTACTTTACATGGAAGTCCAAAGGTTTTACATTAGTGTTAATTAACAAGCCCCATTCACTTTAATGGCTCTACTCTAGTTGTAACTAAAATTAAATTAAGCCAATATTTTTTACATAAAGCAACACTGAGCGTGGAATTGATCATTGGGTTTGCATGAAGTGATTGAGAAGAAACTCATTCACTGGTTTTCAAAAAGAAAAGTAACAATTCAGTAACATTTTTCACATATTGACTTAAATTTTAAACAGACAGTACAGTATCTTTTGAACTGGGAAATGGTATCTGACTGCAGAGCCAGAGGTTGGGAGCTCAATAATCCTTTGTGCTCTCCCAGCCAGACTGTGTAGCCTTAGGGAAGCTGCACAGACGCAGGTCACATACACCCCCAGAAGAAGAGAATGGTAAACCACTTCTGAGTACTCTCTGTCTAGAAAACACTGAAAAGGGTTGTCATAAGTCAGAACTGACTTGACAGTGCACAGTTACTGCTGGATAGCTCAGTAGTTTAGGCATGTGGCTGCAGAACCAGAGGTTGGGAGTTCGATTCCCCAGTGTGCGTCCTAGGCAGAGCTATCCTATGTGGCCTTCGGCAAACTGCACGGTCGCAGATGTGTCCCCAGAAGAAGGGAATGGTAAGCTACTTCTGAGTACTCACTAAATGAAAAATCCTGAGAAAGACTGCCATAAGTCTGAATTGACTTGATGGCACTGAATTATTATAATCTTTTGAAGCAAACTTTGAATGAGTTGAAAACTTGGAGTAGTTAACATCAACCTTAACTCAAGCTCATTTTGAACATTCTAGCTTTTAGCTCTCCCCCCCCCTTCGCATTAACATTTCTCATGGCTGGGCACTAAAGATACCCACCAACAATACCCATATTATTCTTTCTTCAAGAGCAGTAAGTGGTGTTTTTTTTTAAATCAGTGCACAGAAGTACAGTAACGTATTCCACACTCAGCATCACTTTGTTGAAAAACAACTCGCTTAATCTAATTTCAGTCCAATCAGAAAACTTTCATAATCTGTACTCTGTCCATCAGGGGAATTAATACTTTGGGCATTTGAAACAGGTAAGTGGTGATTTGTAGTAAGATTATGCAGAAAGTAAACAGCGCCAGACTTAAAGCAGGCATCAAGGAACGAAAGAGCAAATGAGGGAAGAGCAGAGAGAATTGTCAAAGAAGCTCCATTGACTAGTCTAGCTTTGGGAAGGGGGTTGTTATACAGAGACGATAAAATCAGGTGTACATCTGTATAAATAGTGGGTGGGTAGGACATGTATATATGAATGCATGCATGTATGTTATTTATATGTTACTTTTCTCCCCAAATGGGGCCCAAAGTGGCTCACAATTAAAACTACACCACAATCACAAATTTAAAAATGTCATTGAAAACTATATTTAAAATAAATAAACACATATCAATGTTAAAACCAGAAAATAAAAACAATTTAAAAAAACATTTTACAAATCTTTAAATGAAATAAATATAGCATTCCTGAGACACCCCACATTCTTAAAACCCTGTCTGAAAAGGAAGGTCTTTGCCCGATCAGAGAAGGACAAGAGGGAAAGGGCCAACCTAGCTTCACAAGGCAGAACATCTCAAAACCTGTGAATAGCCACTGAGCAGGTTCTCTCTTGAGTCTTCACCAACCTAACTTGGGAAGGTGGTAGAACCAAGAGAAGGGCCTCCCCAGAAGACCTTAAATGCTCATAGAGAGTGATCTGGCAAAGACTGATCTAGTGAACATTTCTTCCTCATATATCCTTCCAGACCATGCTCAGTTTTCAAGTAGATTTAAAAGTCATGAGGGCCAGTGATGTCCATGCAGCCGTGCTCGGTTACTAAGAGTTTCAAAACTCAATAAAAATAAGTATGAAAACACATTTTCACATGAACTAAATCTCAAGCTAGAAGAAAAATAGGCTTCTATCTTTATTCCCATCTTCTTTTCCTCCTGCACTCTGCCCAATCACAGATGCACTGAATTCCTGGATTTCTTTATTGCTTTCCATGAGTAATTTTCTGGGGCTGGTCTGTGGGTTAAAAAGAAACTTGAAAGTTCGATTTCCTAACGACTGGGTGGAACTTCGAAAGGTTGGCAGTATCTAGGGTCTTCTGCCAGGACAGGGAAAAATGTATTTTCCTTTTAATTTAGAAATGTATATACAGTACCTCTGCATAGCCAGAGACAAAAGGATGCACAGGACATTGAGCCCTTTCTACATCAGTTGGCTCCTTCTCTACCTACAGTCTCTTGCCACTCATAAGGAGCAGCTACTATGAAAACGTTAGCTAATGCCAGATGTGTCCTTGGCCAACGAACAAAGAGAGAAGAACAAGTTTGCCCTGAGATCAGAAGCAACACTTCTCAGCATGATTTCAACAAATTCTCCTTTTTTAGGGAAATAACTGGTAAAAAAGAACCTTTATGAACATGGCATGTTTCTTTAACGGACATGATTAGTCATAAAGGATAAATAAACTTCCTCAAATGGTTACTGTCAACTGGAATGGCTTTAGTAAACCCTTACACAGCCGTAAGAGTTTGTTGAACTGAATCCTTCAGGATGCTGCACTCTGGTTCCTGGACATTCCTAGCAAGCCCTTGGGGAAGCAGTCCAGCGCCGCCTTCTCCCAACAATCTAGACATCAAAGTAGAAGACACAGATACTTACACGCAAGCCAAAGTAGAGCAGGAAGAACACGTTGAAAGCCATGTCTATCTGTAACGTGAAATCTTTGTAGAAATTCTGGCAAGATTCTATTGGGCTATTTGAGAAAAGAAAAAGATTAGTGTAAACTAGAGGAAACAGTTTGAACAGGAAAAGTAGGGCAAAAAAATAAAGTCTGCTGCGCCCATTGTTATCATTTTGATGTACTATGTTGGATAATTAGGATAATCTTACTTCCTATCATACCTTCTCTCAAAAGCAAGCAGGTATAATAAATAAACAATAAACCTTTATTATTTAAAAAAGGATTTTTTTACAACCATTCTTACTATTTACCTGTTCAATTAACAGCTGAAACATGCAGACACTTTTTAAAAACAAGCATGAAAATCTTTGATAATTCTTCAATTCCATATTAACCCTTAAAGAACTGGCTTCTTTCTACAGAGTATATAAAGGTGTAACAATTCAACAGCTAGGGATGCCAACCCTTTTCTGGTCCCTGTTCCTATGCCTTCTACAGTGGCTTGTTCTGCAGACAATAAGAGGTAGCAGTGCTAATCTCTCACCTACTAATGTCTGCAGTTCAAACCTCTGTTAAAGACACAAGGGGCTGCTAGTCTTTCTGATCAGTTGGCAACCTGAAATGTAATTTAATGTTTTTATTGCAGTGTTTGTGCATTTTTAATAAAATAGTATCTTATAAATACACAACAGCAACAATTTCATGATGTCTTTCTAGCAGTGATTTTTTTACCCTCTCCCAATTTATGTTTCCATATTTTTACTCCCAATCTGTTTACATAAAACAAAACAAAACAAATAAATTATTTGAGCTTATTTTCTTCATTTGCAGCTGGGAAAGTTTTGTTTGCATGAATATTGCATCAGTTCAATAGAAAGAAGAGCAAAGTCATACTTAATGCAGAATTAAAAGAAAAGAGAACTAGAAGCAGGACTCCAAGGGTTAATTTTCACATGCACAGCAGACTCAGTAATTTCCTTTCTATCTCAGGCAGCCATTGCAAATTCTAGTTTTGTTTAATGAGGCAGAGCATGTGCAACTTAGTAGCATCCTCTATACAAACTGGTACTGGGGTATACTTCAAAATACCAACTAACAGCTAATTCAAAAAAAAATATACATGAGTACTTTGTGATTTATTTGTGATATTGCTATGAGATGGCCAGGAAGACTGCATCATGTCCCGATATTTGTCACAAATTATTATTCAGTCAACATAGCCATAAAGAGTTTAGGAATGATGCTTTCTCATTCTGAGCATAATTTAATACAGGGCAGAAAAGAAATACGTGACAGAGATAAACAGAAGGCGAACAACAACAAATTCCATGACTTTGTTGCTACAAATAAGTCACTCGAGGATCATACCAGTTAGTATAGCTGCACTGCTGCAAACGCAAGGCTAAACTGCTGAACAGGCAAGATTCTTCACATTCTGAATAATAATAATCTAATTAGCCGGACTAGGAGGGTATTACACATGCAGACAGGTACCAATTTATTTGGAAACACTGCAGCTTATACAAGTCGAACAATAGCATGCCCTTTTCTTATCCTCAAGAGCTTCCGAGTTCCAAAACATTTCCCTGAAGGAGAGTGAAAGGGGCTCCTAAGAAGACTCAGTACTGTTGAGACCAACATTCACTGTATTTTGAAAGGAATGCCCAGCACTCTATCTACAAAGGTTGTGTCAAGTTACTAAGCACATGACTCTTCTAGAGAGGATTGAGTTCCCACTACCCACCATCCTAAAAATAAAGGAGCAAATAGCATATCTGTGATATTGGTAGAAAAGCAATATAAAAACGGGAGAGACTTCTTTATGTGTTCATAGAACAGAGCATCAGAAAAACCAGTCATTTGTACCTTCCGTCACTGCTCCCCAATACACAGGTTTTCTGGAGCGTACAAATTGGGATTCAGTTATCCTGCAGTTGGATCATTCAAGGTTACCTAAATCATGGATCTTGCAAGGGGTGGATCTGAGTAGGGTGGGAGCATGGTCAGGATGAAGCTCACCCCTTCCCCCAAGTGTGAGCCAGTTGTGGTGAAGCATAGATGTCCCTACATTGATATTATGGCAGAAATAGAACAAGTAGGAGGATGATTCATTCCTGCAACTACTTTCCAAGCTTCTCCATAATGTATGAAGCAGTTCTTAACCTAGGACACAAACATACAATAAGGAGAATCTTGTGGTCTTATGTCTTGCTAGGGTACAATGTTTCAGGCCACATCCAGGGGTTCGCATAAGTTGATGGCTCCCCTACTTTTACGTTCATAGATATGTACATGCATGTGTACATAGGACACACAAAAACTAGAAATGAGGAGTTTCTAAACCATCCACTTTTTACATATGGGATTTTTTAACCAGGGATGATCCAGAGATGCCAACTCACAGCTATATTCTAAAGTGGTACTAGTACATGGGATTGAATAGGTGCTGAATGTCACATGCTAATTTGAACTAGTCACCAAGCCTACACTTGTTGTAGATGGTACCACACAGCAACCATTGTTCTACAGACTCTTTGCCTGAAAAACAAAAAAGTTGCCATCGAAGCAAAAATAATGACATTCTCAGGTTATCTTTATGGATGGATTTTGTTTCTGCCAAATAAAAAGCATACATAACACATTGGTAATGCTTGCGATGGAGCATGATTCTTTCGTTTCACCCAAGGCAATCACTTGCCTACAGGAGATGGGGTCATATGTTTCTTCCAGGTTTCGTAACATTATGCCAGTTCACTCTGATAAATAGTTAATTTTTGCTACCTGACAGGGTTGTTGCCATGGCATGCAGACAATCTATATCACTACAGTTACAATCACTGCAGTTGAAACAGCTGTAAGCAAGAGACTGAAAAGATCATATAGATGGCTGCATTTTGCCTTCTCTAGTTTAGGACGTCTGAATCAACCTGTTCCTGGTTCACGGCACTTTGTCACATACTCATGTATAAATTTCCCTCCATTTCTACACTGATTTTGTGTTGGCACGGCACTTTGTCACATACTCATGTATAAATCTATTTCCCTCCGTTTCTACACTGATTTTGTGTTGGCCTTTTAATATGCATGGGCATTTCTAAACAGAAATATAACCTTTGAACTAAAGAGCTGGAAGGGACCCTATGGATCGTTAAATCCAGCCCCTCTCAAAGAGGGACAGATGGGGAACTGAACTCCCAACCTCTGGCTCTGCAACCTAAGCCACCGAGCTATCCAGCAGTGTTTAAATATGTATTTCTTATTTTCCTTCACAATTTACTTACATGTATTTTATCTCAAAATACACTTTTAAAAATATGTTTTGAGACATTTTTGAGCCTAGAACTACACAGAACATTTGAAGAAGCACAAAAGCCAAAGGGTAACTATGTCCCAATCTTCACCCGAGTGCACAAGGTGTGGATCAGGCCCGTTCACAGCAGATCCATTCATCAGTGCCTCAAGGCCAGGAAATCTTTCGTAAAGCTTCCAAGTTTCTACTGATTGACAGCAAAACTCCGAGAAAGATACAGCATCCCTATTCCTTCTCAAGCAATGGCCAGACAGATGGAACTGAAAAATTTGCAAGCAGGGCATAAGCAGGGCATAAAAGTGGCTATTCCCCCGAATAAGAGACATACAGGGATAAACGGCCTAAGGAGCTGGGTATTCTGCATCATTTTACAAACTGCTGTTAGCAATAATAGCTACTGTATTTTTCCGTGTATAAAGCGACACCTTTTCCTAAAATAATTGGAGGAAAAAGTGAGGGTCATTTTATACACGGAAGGAAGCAGAGGCAAAGGAGCAGTCGCACGCACGCTCGGGTGCCTCTTGCTGCCGCCGCCACCGCTGCCCAATTGCCTCCTCGGGGGCTCACGGCTTGTCCCCTCTGGTGGCGGAGGCAGCAGGAGGCGGAGGCAAAGCAGTTGCACTGGAGGAGGTGATCAGGCGGGTGGGGGAGGCAGCAGAGGCAGGGGAGAAGGAGGGGGAGGAGCAGTTGCCCATTAACTGCTCCTCCGCCTCCAGCAAGAGTCAAAATTAGGGGGTCGTTTTATACATTGGGAGGTTGTATACGCAGAAAAATACAGTGCTCAGTTTGTCTCATAGACCAAAATCCTGTTGTGTAGTTAATACCTGTGTAAGGCAAAGAGTGTTATTTTCAATAGATGGGCCCTGACAATTAATAAGCTCTCATTTGGATTTTCAGGTGTTCACCAAACCAGACCATCCGCAGACATAACTCAGAAATTGAATTTTGCCCATTGTTTTTAAAACAAAAGAAACAAGTGCTGCTGCCTATCACCACACAATAGTAGTGAGCTCCTTTAAATTAGTTTTTTAAGAATTATGTAAAATAGAACATTAATGTAATCAATTTTGTTGGATAACTCAAAATTTCTATCTCTGTATATTTATAGAAATGTTTTTTCCCCAGCCGAGGCAGTTTACAATTCAGTTAAAGTCCAAACAAGCTCTTTAAAAAGAAAAAAGAAAAAAAAAAGGCAGACAATTTAAAACATTTTTAAAAAACCAGAATGTCCATGGTATGGTAATTGTCTTCCACTCAGGCAAAATACCAGGGAGGTCTCCCAATGGCCAGCGCAGCCTTCAAAAGCCTATATTTTTACTCCATTTCTCCAGGCAAAAGCCTTCATTCAATCCTACTCCCAGACACATTACCTGGGTATGAAAGGAAAATGATTAATCACAAGACTTTGACTCCTTCCAAGGAACTATTTCATCCTTACCCAACATGACTATGCCATGCCCCACAACCTTCATTCTTCATTTGTAACTTTTATTTTAGGCAAGGAAAACCTACATCAGGAATGCACCAAGACCCACAGGGGCTGCATGCTATTCCTTCCACACCTGGTCATACCTCTGCAGTGCTCCCCTGAAGCAACTGGGAACTTTGCTTCTTGGCAACAGTGGCATGACAGCAATCCTGATTGGGAAACCTCCTCCACCCCCCCAGCAGCCATTACTTCTCCAATATAGCATTTCCTCATACCACACGGCTCTTAAAACAGCCTCTGTGCCCCCACCAGTGATCCTGAAGATGGTTTTGA